ATGCACAAGTATGGTTATAGCTGTGAAAGGGCCAGAGCAAGAATGTAGAACGTGTGGCTCTCTGGGTGTTAAGACACCCAACTCCCATCATTTTTGGTCGATGTGGCCAACCGTTCAGGAAGATGGGATGTTAAGTTCATCTTAAGGGTGATGGGGCCCCCATGGTTGGATTAAATGGTGAGCTGTGTAGCTTCCAAAAGAAATATGCAAGGATTCCTTAAAGTTGCATATACATGTGATGTCGTGTTGACAACAGGCAAGGCATGCAAAATGTGCTAGATCACAATTCAAATGAGCATCCCTGAGCTCAGTGCGATACATCAACAATACTCTCCACCTGTTCCCTAATGAGCCAAGCTTTTTACTTGGGATTGTTTTTTGTACATACTTCCTGTACTTTTCTCAATCTCTTTCCCAAGTTTAGTTTAAAGCTGTTACTAACTTCTGAAGTTTGAGGTTGGGCTGGTGTCCTGCTTAATATTCATGATGTTGTAAACCAGATTTATCATCTCATCATTTTGGCATTCATTAGTTAATGACTGAATGAGACTCACCCTGCTACCAGGAGCCCCCCATGGTGCAATGGGTTAAACCCTTGTGCTGACAGGGTTGAAGACCCACAAGTTGGAGGTTTGATTTCGGGGAGAGCACGGATGAACTCCCTTTGTCAGCTTCAGCTCCCTATGCAGGGACATGAGAGAAGCCTCCCTTAAGAATGGTAAAACATCAAACATCCGGGCGTCCCCTAGATGACGTCCTTGCAGACGGCCAGTTCTCTCACACCAGAATTGACTTGCAGTTTCTGAAGTTGCTCCTGACACAAAAAAAAAAAAAAACCCTGCCACCCATAGCCTATTTCTTAACCTAGGCAGTGCCTCATGCAAAACATTACAGGCGGGGCTGACTACGAAATTATGACTGCTGCATTCTTCTGGTTGCCAGGTGTATGAGACAAGCAGCTACAGCAGAACCCCAAGAAGTCTCTCCAGCTACCCATTGAAGCACAATGCAACAGTCTTCATTTGCTAGCATCCTTATCTACAGGGGGCTGTTCGTTGAGACTGCTGCCTGGCATAAAGGTTGTTCTCTGGGATTGGCATCGGCAAAAGTAGCTACAGTGCTGGAGCTCCATTGCCATAACTGCCTACTCATGCAGGATCTTGGTCAAGCTTTTTTCTTTTGGTCAAAGGGGACAGCATCTAATAAAGTGGGCTGCAGCCAACAAAATATTGTGCAAGATGTTAGTTGCTGAAGTGCCAACAGGTTCTGAACTGTTAACTATTTAATCATCCTTATTTTACTTTATATCGTACTTATATTTTCTCTCATAAACAAGGCTCAAAGGTGTTATTGTGAGAAGGGATCAAATCCTATTATGGAAAGAGCGAGAAACATGTAGCCCTCCAAATGTTATTGAACTGCAGCAACTAGAATTCCTCATCATTAACTATGCTTTCTAGGGATGCTGAGGGTTGCAATTCTCATCCTGTACTAGAATAACAAACAGTGCTATTGCTGTTTTATAAATAATGTTTCTGCGTCTCTTTCAGTCCAGTGGGAAATTTCTTTCATCTGTTTGCCAGCAGCCTTTCAGCTGCTGTTTCGACGGGATTTGGATCCCTTGTTGGTGTGTAAGGTATCTTTCTCTTTAGCTGTGGCACTTTAGAACCTTGGTGCACAGTAGCTTTATAGTTATTATTAGCTGTAGGGAAAGATACTGAACAAGATGTTTACATTTTAAAAATTGAAGAGTAGTTATACAAAATGTACAGAAATTGATTTACTGCTTTGCTTTTATGTCTTTACCTGAGGATAGTCTGGAATTCCATGGTCTGCAGAAGATATTGGAGATGCAATAGTTCTTTTCTGCTCTCCCCTTCCAAGGGTGCTTACCTTTCAATATTATACTGGAAAAGGAGAAGGCTAGCAAGGGCTGTGGATCCACAACTCTCCTGGCCTCCAAACCTGCCCCAAATTGGCTTGTCATCTATGCAAGTGTTAAGAGCAGTGGTTCTCAACCTGTGGGTCCCCAGATGTTTTGGCCTACAACTCCCAGAAACCCCAGCCAGTTTACCAGCTTTTAGGATTTCTGGGAGTTGAAGGCCAAAACATCTGTGGACCCACAGGTTGGGAACTGTGTTAGAGGATAATGCATACCAATCTCCTCCCACTGGTTTCAATGGGAGGAAGGTTTTTTAAAAGTAATACAGCTGGGGGAGGGGGGGGGAGAGACAAATACCATTTTTCTTGGCTAACAAAAGAAAGACTTGGATTTCTCCACAGCCCAAGGTTTAATGTTATTGAGAACAACATCCTACCAGTATATGTCAGTGAAGGTCAAACATGACCCCCCCCTCCGCCTCCCCCCAAGTGTTTGGGCTTCTAACCCTCAATTACTCCATCCAACAGTGAAATATGAACTCTTTAACACTTCTAGAGAATAACAATAGTAATAGGGTGATACTTCCACTGGCTGTTTCCCCCCAAATGCTCAAAGACTCTTCTCAACATTAAGGTACAATTAATCTGGATTCTGCAGAAAATGCTTACAAAAAAGACTGCTTAACTACTTTTTGATACAACCCTACAGTATATTCTCATGTATTAGTTGACCCCATGTATAAGTCGTGGGAAGGTGCTGGGGCCAAAAATATGGATTTGGCCATGACCCATGCATAGCTTGAGGGTCATTCTACAGAGAGGGGAACCACCAATGCCACCTCAAGGGGGGAGCCACCCCTGGTCATCACCACTTCCCAAGCCAGCCATTCAAAACAAGGCGGAGAAAGAAAGGATTGGTGTTTCTTTTATGTTCACTCAGGATAGACAAAGTTCTTGCCTTTTGCCAGTCTACTCGGAGGAGATTATTCCTTCTTTGATAAGACTTATGGTATAGTAGCAACCTGGCCTGTGGATAACTTAGAAACAGTGTTTGGGGGTTGATATTTTGTCAACAATGTTTAGTCTTATACATTATATAGGGTAATTTGCATATATCCATGGAAGCCCATCAGCAGAGGCAGGCCTCTCCTCCTTTGTGAAAGTAAAAAACTTGCATAACCCTGTTCAGTACAACACGTGTGTTTCTGTCCACCACAGGATCTTACATGATGGCAAGTTGGCCAAAAAGGCTTACAATTCAAGGTGAAAAAGTGACGAATGTCTTTCTGGCACAATTCTATTTGAAACACACTAGGAGAAACAAAAAATCTGAGCATCTTTGTAAATAAATTGTAATATTTGCAGTTTATATGGTTTTCCGATTATCTTTTTCTCTGGTTTCAAACTGGTGTTGCCTTTCTTTTTTCACCCTAATTGCATTACATATTAGAAGAGAAAAGGTAATCCCATGCGATCTTTTTACATAAAAAAATAACTATCAGAAAGACCTAGTGCGTTAAAAATACTTGTTCAACCCCAATACATCTCTGTGGAGAGAAAACTTCTATTTTACTTTTTCAAGAAAGATTTTTATATGCTGTGGGATAAGGAAGAACATGCACCCTAAAGCAACCTTTTGGCAGAAAAAATGCTGGAAAACACATTTTATTTTTGAGAAGTCAGGTTCTGGACAACAGTGATCTAAAACAGCAGATGACAACATTTTCCACAAATATATATTAATGTACATAAATGTTCTGCAAATCATTTGTGGTAGGAGTGGGGGTCAAATGAATATCTCTGTGTTACAACCAGCAACTTCCATTCGCACTATGATAAACAGTTTCCATTAAGTACTGCACTCTTGCAGGTGCACCTTAAATTAGCACCAGTGGTGTATGGGAATGGTGAGCATTGCAACCTTTTCTGAATCATTCTTCAATAAAAGCTTGAAATGCTTTTCTTGGATACATGCTTAATTGACCATTGAAATGGGGATAGTGGCATGCTACTGGAATCACAGGCTGGACTCTTTGTGGTTACAAAGACTAAGCATATGTATGGATAAATTCCTACTTAGTTCCATATATCCCGCAAAGAGCTCAGAGTTAATTAAATTGAATTTATCCATTTTACATAAGCAAGGTGATCTCAAATCCAAGTTCATGCAAAGATCTTCATGCTGATCAAGATTTTCCCGAAGTCCAATCCAGTCAACACATTCTTCCACTTAATTTAATGGAATACTAGTACCAAACCAGCCAACAAGGCAGAAAATAAAAGAGTGATGAGAAAAGCTGAGGAGAAAACTGTTGTAACTGAATCCAATTCCTGTCTAGTCAGCTGGCGCTTAGGGAAAACCCAGTAGTAAGTGGACTACACCACTTGACTATCCAGAGAATTATTAATTACAACATCTAAAATGGACAGATAAAGGAGTATAGTATTAAAGTAGGGGCTTAACTGAACAGCTTTCATTTGCATGAACTGTCATAAATTTATTTGAGTGCAGGACATTGTGCATAACCTATGCCACAAACCATGATTAACAGTTGAATATAAACTGATGTGCACATGAAATGTGTTTTAGATAATTTGGATTTCACAAACCAGGCAGCGCACCACTTTGATACTTAAAAGCTAAGTTGCTTCATGTGCAACCTTAAGTCAATGATATTCAAATGTGCTTCCTCCAAAGTCTATGTATGGTACTAGCAGTGAATGTTTTACTCCTCATGTACCTCAACAAAGTAGATTCAAGCATACAGGCACATATCTTTGCATTTGGGTCACCTCACAAGAGGCATCAATGAAAGAATATCTAAACTCTGCCACATGAAAATTTGTAGCTTCATCCAGTTCTTTATCTGTGAGACCAATTTTGTGCCCATGTTTGTATTGTTCACTCCACAATTGCCCTCCCTCCTACACAATCATGGCTGACATGCTACTGCCCATCTCCCTCCCAGGTTTCTGCTTACACTTCAATTCCACTTCTGTCCCAACATTGTTATGCATTGTTCAGATATTTATTTACTGGTTCTAGGAAAGTTATGCTTACAGGAAAGAACCAGGTAAAACTAATTGGGATCAAATAACAACAGCGGACCTCAGAAAAATGACTGTATTCTCTTTATTGTTAGCCAATGAATGTTATCCAAAATAATAGGTGTTATTTACTGTAGCTTAATTTTACAACACAAAACATGATGCTAAGGAGGGGAGGGGGAAGAAGAGGGGAAGCATGTGGGGGTGTTTCCCCAGAAGCTGGTGACCAGTATCATCAGCATCATTTTGTTCATAGTGAAAAACCTTGCAATATAGGTTAATTCCTGATTGCTTAGAAAAATTCACACAGTTTTTATAAATGAATTAGATCCATTTAAGTACTAAGCTATACATCATAGATAATGAACAGCAAACCTGACTGGTATTCCCCCACTCCTCACACTCGCAGGCTAGCATGTCAATGCCCATGCATACATTTCAGGGGAAACCCATGCACTGCATTCCACCTGCTATGGCAAAGGTTTTGAACACTTCAGATATACAGGTTTTGTAATTCACTGCATGAAAAAAATGCAAGATGCTTGCCCCATTTTCTGCAACAGGAAGCAGAAATGCCCAGGGCAATCAAACAGTGTTTTGGGCACGTGCACACCATTTGCACGCAAGTCTATACAAGGCTAGCCAGCTACCCTTATCCAAAAATAATATACCGGTGTATGTGTTTCTTTCATAATGTGCCCCCTTGAAGGATCTCTCTTAAACACAAAGGTTCATAGGGAACTTGTGCATGGAAATTTTATAAAAATGGCAATTGTTACAGGTAAGTGTGAATTTTGAGTGCATAATACCTAACAAAAGATAGCTGAACCATCCTCAGAGAAAGCAGAGCTTCTTTCTTCCAACTTTTAATTAAATACCTAGAAACACTGCACACATTTCAGTTTCACTTCTATCAACAACATGATCCTCATGGTGCTAGATTCTAATTAGTCATTCCAGGTAAGAGCGATTCAACATGAATTCTAGACACACATTCAATATTCACTGGATGCATGTTTGCTTCCACCTAATGGTTGTTCATGTAACTCATCTGTTCCTTGTTCTGCCACAATTCCCCTTGTTATATTCCCTGGAAATGCAGAGCACATTGACATTGTTTCCTCCCTTACTGCTTCAATTTTCAGGAAAGAACAAGAAGAGCATGTTGAACGGGGCTTAGAGTGCGTTGTCAGATGCTGTTTTATGCACAGCCTTCATCAAAAAATGAGCCTCACAGTGATATCATACAGAGGAATTCAGGAAACGTGCCCATACAGGTCATATCCTCTCATTGGACAGGATATAGTGACAGGTTACATCAAGATGCAGAATTTCACTTGACAAAAAGGCAGCTGTATATTCTTTGAATGCTATAAATCTATCTGTAATAGAACAAAATATTAAAAAGTAAAGACTCCTAGATGCATGTGGCTTTTAGCTATGGAGAACCCAGCTTAACACAGTTAGCATCTTAACATGGTGTTTGAAGGACCAGTCATCATGTAAATAGTGAGGTAGGATACTGTCCCCTCTTCGGGACTGATGTTTTCATATGCTCCCTTGCCAGAAAGGTCCAGGTTTCCCACACTGCAATTCATACTAAACGAATGCAAGGGGAGGAGAACTGAAAGAACTTCACTTCTTTTCCTATTCCTACTTGAAATATGAAAGACTTTGGTAAAAGAGAACTATACATAAGCGCTTACAGGTGATGTTCCACTATTTTTTACAGGAACAGCTACCTGCCATCTAGACTTTTGTGAACAGGTAGGCAAAGAAAACCATCAATGATGACAGGACATGAAACACCAGATAATTCCACCCTTCTGGGGGAGGGGGGAAGGACCATCATATCTATGATAAATCAGCATTACCAAAATCCTTGCAAATTCACTAAACTGAAAAGAACGTTACAAAGTGCACCCATGCCAAAACTATGGCCAGTTTTATAAAGTAAAAGCTAGTGTTCTTTCAAATGGTCAAGGCTTAGGTTAACAGCTTTGACCATATTAAATTTTTAGAGGACAAACAATAAGAATATGTGAAATGAGATTACAGAAACTACCACCCCCCCCCCCCCCCCCCCCAAAAGAGTCATAGCGGACAGACTGCCTTATTGTTGATCGACTGCCATGAAATGTGTTTTAAACCACAAATGGGTCTAAGTGCTTTGGCAAGGTGGGGTGTGTTTCTTTCACATGTGGAAAGGCCTGTGTTTCTCTGCTGGTGGTTCAAGCTTAATGAAGAACATATATGCAAAGGAACAGCTCTCACATTGCTTCAAATTCATCAATGCGTTGCTTTGTATTTCCTTGTCGGATCTGTCGAAGAGTCTTGTATTTATCACGGCCTGCTTTGACATTCTCCGCATGAAGGACATCATTCTGGGTTTTCTTGGTTTCATCTCTGGCTTGGGCCAACTCAGAACTCAAGGCCTATTGAACAAGATCAGTAAGAATTTAGATCCTGTCACTCCTAGATATAGTATTCAACATTTCATTTGCTAAACAAAATTAACGTGGTCTATACTGTTAAGCAGGAGCCCCTGGTGGCACAGTGGGTTAAACTGCTCAGCTACTGAACTTGCTGACCAAAAGATCAGCAGTTCAAATCCAGAGAGCAGGGTGAGCTCCTGCTGTTAGTCCCAAGTTCTGACAACCTAGCAGTTCGAAAACATGAAAATGTGAGTAGATCAATAGGTACTGTCTCGGTGGGAAGGTAACAGCGCTCCATGCAGTCATGACAGCCACATGACCTAGGAGGCATCTACTGACAATGCTGGCTCTTCGGCTTAGAAATGGAGATGATCACCACCCCCCAGAGTGGGAAACGACTAGACTTAATGTCAAGGGGAAACCTTTACCTTTACCTTATACTCTTAAGCAGGGTGAGAACTGCACAGCCCTACACATGCTGCTGTACAGATAGTCAAAGCATCCCCTGTCATTTTAGTCAATAGAAAGGAACACTGGGAGCTGAGGTCCCACACGCAGAGTGCCAAATGATGCCAAGCCATGCCCTAATGTCTTCCAACCATAGAGCTTAATTTTATACATGAAACAAGGGAGTACATGTGTACTCTCTCTTTAAGTAAAGCAAGTTACATTTTTCTATGACTTTTTTTAAATATCAGCATCTCAGATCCAAAAACTATCTCACCTTACTCAAAATATTCAAATTTTAACTGTGTAATAACTGTTTTAACCTTATGCTGTTTTTTAAAAATCACTGATGATTAACAGATACACAACTACTCATTTACATGTTCTTTGGAGGCATTACTAGTAAAGGGGAACTGACAGTGTAAAAAGAAGCATTGGAGTTGCATTAATTCTTTGTACGCTGGCAGTTTTCCAAATCCATGGCTCAAGTAATCCTTCCTTACAAGCAAGTGGGAGGGCTAAGTTATTTTGGTTTCTTTGCCTTTTGAGAAAGGAGGGGGAGAGAGAACACACAAGGTCCTGTTGGGTGGATCAATTAATTTCTATATCCTTCTGAAATAATCATCATTTTTTCATGTCAGACTGAAACTTGGAAAGAAAATGCTCACTCCAAAAAAACAAAACCATTTATTGATGTTGATGACCTTCCAAAATAAACAGTGCTTTGATATGCATCACTGAAATGGCCTAGAGACTTTTAAAAAATAATGTCATCAAAAAGTCTGCTCTAAATGAGTCAATAAAAATATAATCTGATCTTTGGTTTAAAGGTTTCAACTAGATGCTCACTATTTAGACCAGCGTTTCTCAACCTGGGGGTCAGGACCCATGGGGGGGTCACAAGGGGGTGTCAGAGGGGTTGCCAAAGACCATCAGAAAACACAGTATTTTCTGTTGATCATGGGGGTTCTGTGTAAAAAGTCTGACCTATTTCTATCGTTGGTGGGATTCAGAATGCTGTTTGATTGCAGGTGAACTATCCCAGCAACTACAACTCCCAAATGTCAAGGTCTATTTTCCCCAAACTCCAGCAGTGCTCACATTTGGGCGTATTGAGTATTTGTGCCAAATTTGGTTCAGTGAATGAAAATATATCCTGCATATCACCTATTTAAAATACGATTCATAAGAGTAGCAAGATTACAGTTATGAAGTAGCAACGGAAATAATTTTATGGTTGGGGGTCGCCACAATATGAACTGTATTAAGGGGTTGTGGCATTAGGAAGGTTGAGAACCACTGGTTTAGACAGAACAAGTACATCTGTATTATGAATGTTCATGAAAAATTTAAAAACCTTTTGCTTTACTGAGCATTTCACCATAAAAACTCAATGCTGTATATTACATAAAGTGCTATACTCCAAACCTACGAAGCCCTCAAATATTTCCATTTCATAAGTCAGCATTAGTGGTAAACTATATTCAGATCTCCTTTACATATCACATGAGGGATTATCACACGAAACACAATTTCTCAATTATGTGTGAATATATATATTATTATTATTGTTTGCATTTCTTATAGTCCTCAACCAATGAACTGAATAACGTGTTCTCCATACCTGCCCCTGCCCCCTACACCCTGCCTATAGATGATAATCCTGGGAAATATATATAAACCTATCTAGGATATTATAAGAAGGAATTGCAAAGAAGAGACACTCTTGAGAAGAATATACCACCCTCCAGCTGCACAGTTAGTTTAGTGTAAGCTTTCAATACCTGTAGCTGTTTCTTAACACGTTCATTCTTCTGTGTTTCCGTTACACGCTCTTCCTCATTTCTATGATTCACAGCTTCATCAGATGCTAATTCAGCGCTAGCCTCAGCATGGTTCTCATCCTGTTCATCATGTTCATTCTCTGTTTGAGGAACAACTGGTGGAGGAGGAGGGGGAGGAGGAGGAGGGGGCGGTGGAGGGGGAGGAGCTGACATCACAGTCTTCAGTTCTTCTTTGGTCTTTTCTAGATCTTCTTGGGCTGCAAAAGCCTACGGGTAACAAAAAAGTTCATTTAATATTCACAAACTACAAACAACTAAAAGCTGCCACAGATGTTATTTATTAGGAATGCAGTGAGCAGACGTAAGCTTCTTTGTGGAGAGAAAAAACAAGGTATAAATAATAATGATGATGATGATGATGATGATGTTACAATCCCAGGCGACAGCAGAATTAATGAGAAGCAACTGGAAAAGTTAACACAATACGAGGATTTAAAGACCAAACTGCAAATACTTTGGTACAAGTCCAGGGAGGGCCTCTGTAGTCTGTATAGTGTAACAGGGTGATTTTAGAAATTTATTCCCTCACGAAAAGAGTGAAGAAAAAACTGAGGAACTGCATACCTCAACCCCAGCAGTTGACCACCTCTAGTTTAATGTTATCCCCCCCCCCACACACACAGTATACCAAAAGTTTAACTCATCTTCAATGATATCTATTGAAATCATTTGACAACTTAAGTCCCATTGATTTGAATAGACCAACCATTATGTATAGCTAAATCTGGATTTAAGACAGCACTGCTAGAAAATGCCTTGATTAAAAACTCTGGTATACAGTTCACAACTCCCATTTTTCATGCACAAAGGGATTACTTTGTGTTGCCATTCTGAGGCTTCTTCTTCCTTCTTTTTCTTGGCCTCCTCCAAAAGTGCAATCTTAGCAGTGAATTCAGCAAGTTCTGCTGCCTAATAAACCAGAAAAAAACTATTTTAGATCAAACATACATCTCCATAAATGGAAAGATTCATACTTTTGCTGAGTGATTCCAGATATTATACACAGCTTTGTAAAAAAAATAGTAATTTCACATTCTGTTTTTTTAATTTGTCATGTCAGAAGCGAATTGAGGCTACTGTTATAATGTATTTAAGAACATAAAGTTAAAAACTTCTGTTAATAATAGATAAATTAAACCACTAATTATAATCTCACATCTAATAAAAATATTTAGAAACCAGCCAAAACACCTGACAAAATAAACTCTTCTATTGAGGGTACTTTATTTTGAAATAAAACAAAATAAAATACCACAAAATTCAGTTTTATATTATAAACAGAATTTATAATATAGAGTAAATTTTGATGCTTTAATATGGTAAATAACAGGTTTTTCTTTACTTTTGAAGCTCAGAAGAATAGGAGTTAGGAATGTTTCACTGTGAAGAGCTTCCCAATGGAACAAGGAAAGTTTCACCACCACAAACTAAGGACAACATGGCATATCACTGAGACAGTGATGTAACATTATTTCAGGAGTTTAAAATTTCATTCTTTCTCTTTCCTTACTGCCCATTGTACATCTCAATATGAGAATCAGTAATAACACTGAAATTTCATGCTCAGGGGACACCATGGGGTAATATACTTGAACCAGCTAATCACCATTGGACATATCAGTTCTAATCAAGTCTCCTAGAAAACTAAATATTCAAAGTTTGCATAAAACATCTTACTAGCTGCTCCTGATTTTTCATCTGATCAGCAGCCTGTTTTGCCAGAGCAGCTTTTGCTTCTTCTGCAGCTCTCCGATCTTTCTCCAGGCGCTCTGCTTCCTCTTTTGCTTTCTTTCGTTCTTGGTCCAGCTCAAGAGCCCTTCTAGTCTGTTCTTCTAGTTCTGTACAAATATTTATAAATAATGACTCAAAAATCTCACAAACAAAACCATATTTCAATGTAGATATGTAGATTAATCTGAAATATTGCGGGATACAATGATAAAGAACTGCAAATCCAAGAGATGGCCTGTTTTTTAAATAAAGTAGATTGAAGATTTCCAAGAAGGCACAGATTAAGACTCTCACATTGCTTACTAAGATCAGAAGCAAATGGAGACTGAATGGGATTAGCCAAGGGCCTGCTTGTACAGCAGGTCAAATACACAGGATTATAACTGAATGCCATTTTGCACTGCAGTCAGTGTTTTGTCTTCCTTACTCTTTTGGTGGTGATCTTGATACCACAAAAATATCTTTAAAACAACTTCGTGCCTAGATTACTATGAGATTTTGTAAAGTAGATCTGATAAAAATAAGCACTATCAAAAATTAGGCTGAAAGAGAGGCAAAAAAGCAAAAGAGAGCTCAGAAGCTAGCCAATTCACCAAATATATTATACCCAAGGTGGCTGAATAGGAGTAGCTACACCATACACAGCAAGAATAATACACAGCAGTACACCTTACACCTTCCAGACATGAAGTCTCAAGTTCAATCCCTGGCCTGCCCAGTTAAAAGGATTAGTGGGCCATGGATGGGACAGTTAGCTTCATGAGAGCAAGAAAAGCCACTGCCTCTCAGTAGACATCAGTGAGCTAAGTGGATATGCAGTGATCAAGTAAAAGCAGCTTCTCCTGTTCCTTGCAGTTTCTTTGAGTGCAGCTTAGTACCACACCGCTCTTTCCGTGTAACAATAGCGAATTTGGGATAATTCCTGACAGTGTGGGAATACCCTTTTCAAAACCTGGTTCCTTTTAAGGCTTGTAAAAGTGCTTCTTGTTCTCAGACAACTACATCTAATTTTAAAGGTATCAACCACACATTTACTTTGGGGAGGGGGGGAGTGAGTGAGAATTCCTAACACCTAGGATTTTTCATCCCTGTATATTTTGGTACTTTATTAGCTGTTACTGGTTGTTCCAGTTGTCTCACTTCAGGAAATCCAATTCCCACAAGGACTTCCTGATTTGGGAAAAGCCACAAGTAGCTAGTGTGATTTGCTTTTGCTTTTTATTTGTGTTTGACGTCTGTGGGCAGATACTCTGGGTCTGCAAGTATTAGATTGTTCATTTTTTTGCCGAAATGTGCCACATCACAAATCAATGCAGACTTTGGAGAATTACTGATTACTGAACTTTAATGCAAGTTGTTAAGGAGATCTTTAAATCCTGAAAACAGATGTTTAAATGCTGAAAAATCCAAGGAATCATCCATTTTCTTTTTTAAAAAAGGATCAACACATCTTTGTCCAATTATGTTCTAAATGTTTTTAAAATGACACTTTGACTTCAAGTTGTATCATAGGCCAATTGGGCTACAATTCAAAAACTTTTTTTAAAAAAAATAAACAGACGTAGCATTAAAAGCAATATACGAAACCCTACAAAACAGTCAGAAGGCATTCTATTTACCAAAATAAAGACTTTGTTTTAAAAATTAGAAATGCTCCTTGAGTAAATAGATTCTAACTGAACTTTTCCCTGAGAACTGGAATATGGAACACCTGGTTGATTTCTTCTTTGTCATTTCCCTCAGCTGTGAGTTTCTCCACATAGATTTCTATTCTTAATTTACATATCTGACCTATACAAACAAGATTAAAAGAGTTTCAGTATTGTGAAAATAAAAATATCACATAATTTTGTTCACTTATACTACGATGGTAGTTTATAGATAAAATCTAATTTTCTCTCATGCCTAAGTAGTAGCTACTTCAAAAATTAAAATTTAGAGAAGAACATCATATGCCATACTGTATTGTCAAAAGCTTTCATGGCCAGAATCACTGGGTTGTTCTAAGTTTTCGGGCTGTATGCTCATGTCCCAGAAGCATTCTCTCCTGACATTTCACCTGCATCTATAGCAGGCATCCTCTAGCAGAAGTTGTGAGGTCACAAGCTCATAACCTCTGAGGATGCCTGCCATAGATCCAGGTGAAATGTCAGGAGAGAATGCTTCTGGAACATGGCCATACAGCCCGAAAAACTTAAAACAACCCATATGTCATATTTACTGCCCTACAGCAGAATTTGATTTTGATCTAGGCTTATACTTTTGTTATAAGCATACATCCAAAAATCACAAGTAAATACTGAAAATCCACATTCTTCCCAACATATGAAACCTTTAGACCAGGGGTTCTTAACCAAGGGTCCCTTGGTGGTCCATGGAAAGATTTCTGAGGGTCTGTGAGTCTGAATTGAAAAAAAAATCTCTGGCCTCTAATTGAAATATAGGGGCACCTATCTGCTACTATGTTCTGAGACAAGGTCCTTGAATTTCACCTGACTGGCACAGAGGTCCGTGGAACAAAATAGGTTAAGAAATCCTGGTTTAGAACATTATGTATGAACTGCACTCAAACATAAGTGTAAACGGTTGCAATTAAAAAGCTGTGTGCACTTCAAATTCATATTAAAGTAGCAGTAAAAATATTAAAACCTAAATTCAACTCTGATCCCAACTACAGTAGATCCACCAAAGCAACAATTAACAATTCATTAAAAAAATTAACCTAAATCCAACTCTGGTCCCAACTTGAATAGATCCACCAAAGCGATATTCAACAATTAATTTAGTAAGCCTATTCTAGTTGTAAGTAACAATTCAATTTAGGACTAAATTTATTAACCACTTTACCCCTCTGCCTTCTTCTTTCCTATTCTGTCACACACATTCCACGGATAATTAAAACAAATTAATGTGAAGCAAAAGACTCACCTTTTTGTGCCTTCATTGTCTGTTCTTCAATTTGTCTTAGTCGTTCCAACAACTCGTCCTTTTCACGTTCTATTCTTTCCTTTTCTTTCTCTGCTATTTCTCTTTTCTTTTTCTCATTTTCTAATTGTGCTCTAAATTGAAGAGAAACAAGTATATATCTAGTAAAGAGCAAGTGATGTTCATTTTATAGTTGAAGAATAAATATACTTTATCTAAATATGCTAAACTAAAAAAAAATAAACTACTATAGATATAGATATACCAGAGTAGAAAATTAAAGAGAGTAATAAACTTCAAATGGTTTGCTTCAGTTATGAAGCTGTATACCACTGGATGTCTGCATCACCTTCTCCTCTTCACTAAGACTGAACATAGACAATCCAATGTGGCTCATATATCGTAATATCTTAGCAGCACTTATAGGCCTGCCACAAGAGGTAATTTCAGTATCAATATTCAACTTAACTAGTACAGGTTCATTTGAAATCACAGTGGGGATATGGGGCAAGCATGTCAGTGTAAGTATTTTATTTCACCCCAAAGCATTAAAAGTCCAGTTGAAGCAGACTGTTCTCACTGACCTTTACAGAAAGACAAATTTTGTAGTACAACCTGGAAAAACATGGGCCAAAGAAAAACCAGGAACTTTACAGAACATTGCCTCCCTCTCTTGATACAACACAACAATAGTTTCCACTAAGGCCACCATTTTCAGAAATTGACTCCACAGAGTCTACTGTGGTCATATTTTTCCTCATTAAGTCCATCTCAAATTCCTACTTTGTAACAGACTATTTTGGAAAAACTGGACTATGAAATTAGTTCTTAAAACAAATACATTTTCACTCTTTGTTCCTAGGTACTAGTCCATATTATACCTTTCCAACTGTTTTTGGTGTTTTTCTTCTCTGGCTTGGGCCTTCATCTGTTGAACTTCAATTGTATCTGGCTTTCTCCTTCTCATGTATAGCTCATGGTTTCCCATACACAATGCCAATATCCTCTTATTAATTCTCAGCCGTGGTGCATAAAAGACAAAATCCTAATGAAAAATGTTTTAAGTTACTGACATCTTATTCATGTCCTAAAAATAAACAGATTTACAAATAACATTCTAACTAAACACTCTTGCTAAATGAGATTCCAGCATCTCAATATCAACACACTTTCACTTTCCAATGAAACCAACTGAAATTATCAATGATGCAGCCATGTTTAGGAAGGACATCAATTATGCCTGATTAAATCCCACACAAAGCTTCCTCATATGCACTGCAGAGCTAGAAGGTGAACACGCACTTCAAAAATTGAGGTAAATTATTAAGATACTGGAAAAATCATTCTTCAGCACCAGAAAGTGGCAAATCTGCCCATATTGTATTTTCCTCTTGCAACTCAATTCCATCGAGTATCTTTTGTTTTCTCTTTGTCTCCCATATACATAACTTTCTGACTTTAGAGATTCTTTCAGACCTCTTTACAGTCTGGTTGGGATTTCATCATCAGAACTTGATGAACAGCATTCCCAAAACTGAGCTCAATTGCTAAGATCTTGGAAGTTCCACCTGTCAACACCAGGGGTGGCTAAATCTGCCCACACTGCACTTGCCCCTTGCTCCATCAAACATTATGCAATGTTCTGCCTCAAATTCTGTCCCGCTCCTGAGCAGAAAAGTAAAGAGTCAAAAAATGTTTTTACATCATCATCCTGCTGGACAGCTAAACCAGGAAATCCCAATTGGATGGCCCCCCACAAGGGTCTTCCTCCAAAGATAAATCAAGAATGAAAAACTTGAAAGTCCCTGAACAGACTAAGAAGTGGAGTGGGCAGATCAAAAGACAATCTGCAAAATGGCACTACCTAGAACAGGGGTCGGGAACCTTTGGCCCTCCAGGTGTGGTGGACTTCAACTCCCACAATTCCTTGAGGCTCGGCATTCGCCCCAAAGGCTTACCTTGGCCCAACGAGGTTTGTTTGGCTCTTTTTCATGGAGGACGGGCAGCAAAGGGGGAGAGACGAGCGTAACGTAGCTGTGCAGATGGCGAGGAAGGATGTGGAGCCTACAGACTGGCCTCGGAGGGAGAGAGCGGGCGGAAACCCCTGCGGGCAACGCGCCTCCTCGCCGCTTCTCTGTAAACAGCGCAGAGCCCTTTCCCTCCAGCCTTCGCCTTCCCTTTTCCCCGACAAGCTCTGCACGACGTCACTCAGCCGGCGTCGTTGCTAGGGAGGGGGTCCATGCGGGGCGGTTGCTACGGGCCGAAGCGGCGAGGAGGCGCGTTGCCCGCAGGGGTTTCCGCCCGCTCTCTCCCTCCGAGGCCAGTCTGTGGGCTCCGCATCCTTCCTCGCCATCTGCACAGCTACGTTACGCTCGTCTCTCCCCCTTTGCTGCCCGTCCTCCATGAAAAAGAGCCAAACAAACCTCGTTGGGCCAAGGTAAGCCTTTGGGGCGAATGCCGAGCCTCAAGGAATTGTGGGAGTTGAAGTCCACCACACCTGGAGGGCCGAAGGTTCCCGACCCCTGACCTAGAAGAATCCCCCACCTTGTGCGACTGTGGAGCAGAACAAACAACTCAGCACTTATAGGCTTGCCCGCAATGCATCTGTCTCATACACAGAGGAAGAACTCTTGAAAGCTACAGAAAATGCGGTCACTGTTGCCCGTTTTTGGTCAAAAATTATTTAGCCACTCTATTTTATCAGTTTTATATGTATTTATGCAATACTTTTGACACAAAATAAATAAAATCAGAACAAGAGAAACATCATGTGTTCCAACAGAACTGGGGCTAAGGTAAATATGAATTATTTAGCCCATAGATCAGTGGTTCTCAACCTGTGGGTCCCCAGGTGTTTTGGCCTACAACTCCCAGGAATCCCAGCCAGTTTACCAGCTGTTAGGATTTCTGGGAGTTGAAGTCCAAAAACATCTGGGGACCCCAGGTTGAGAACCACTGCCATAGATTGACAAGACAGAAGTGATAAAATGCTATTTGATCTACCTTATATACTCATGTAGAAGTCAAGATTTTTTTTAAAAAAAATCAACCCCCAAAATGGATTTACTTGGATCCACAAATCAGTAAGAAAATGGATTTACTTGGATCCACAAATCAGTAAGAAAACTGTACCTTAATTCTGATAGAAAAAGAACCACCCCCTTCTCTGCGCAGAGCAGCAAAAGGCAAGAGCTTATTCCATCCCAAAAAAAACCCCAAAGAAGGGTCATCCCCTCTATCTAAAAACTACGGTACCACTTCTAGCCCTTTCGAATGCCTGGGCAGCAAAATAGTGGCAGCAACCAGGGGCTGGCACAAGATGGAATGACCAACTTAATTGATAGGTCAGAGCTAAAATTATAATTTGGGCTTCAAAATCTGTCAACACCTTATAGAAGGACATATTCAGTAGTCTCCATCGATCTATGTAATTGTTTTCTTGAAACAAATATTAATAGCAAGACTATGCATCACTTTGTAGAGATAACATGAGGATACAGTTTTATTGGTAATTAAGGTTTTATACTGTTTAATTAATGGCTTATGTATTTTATGTATTTTAATGGTTTGATGGTTATGTTTAATGGTTATTGTATTAACTGTTCATGTAAAGGCATCGAATTGCTGCCTATGTAAGCTGTCCTGAGTCCCCCTTTCGGGGTAGAGAAGAGATGGGATATAAATAAATAAATAAATAAATAAATAAGTATTTGATACTTTGAAACTGACGCAGAACATTCCTTATTTGTGCATTCCCAGAGGTGTTTTGCAAGCCATTTTGAAAAGAGAATGCTGGACTACAACTTAGTCTAGATCTGTCTGAAATGCTTCCTTTATTTTCAAAATCAAATGAAGTTCAAGTTGGGCTTTGCATCAATCTATATATTTTAATTAAAAAAGTTAAAAATCTAATTCAAAACAGACTAGCAATCAACAGGTGGAAAGGGGTCATGGAATTATTTCCAAAACTATTAGAAAATACAGGCACAAAATACTAGAGAATAGTAAGAATCAGAGAGGAATGGAACAGGTGTGCACATGCCACTTTCTTAAAACTATTTTTACTTACAGGGGCCTTTTTGTCAATAGGCTTTATCACAAATTTTTTGTCATTAAATGAAATATTTCTGATTTCACTCCAAGGAAAGCCGATCTTGGGAGTCAACCTTTAGTGAAGACAGAAGAATCCTTAATAAAAGATCACACATACTTTATTCCCCCCCCCCCCCCAAAAAAAGAGACACTTTTAATATAGTATATTAAAGACAAGAATACTTGGTTATCCACTTATTTTGTAATAAGAACAAGAACAGAGAGAAAAAAACAAGTTCTTCACCATTAATTAACTTTTGCATCTCAAATTCTCTTCCTAGGATCATATGTTAAAAATAACTTGCAGGTCTTACTGGTAAGAAGACTATTATTAAGATTTCTGAACAGCATTTTGGACGTAGTGAAATATATCCTGTTTTTACTTACTTGTCCCCATGTTCATAAATATTTAAACCCAACGCATCAACACCAAGCCATAACTCAGTTCCCTTTTTGTTCTTAATTTCAAAATAGTTGACGCCATACATTTCCAAATCTTGGGCAATTTTCAGATACTCCATCATAGAATCTTCCCTGATAATGAAGAAAAAATAATTTAAAACCAAATAACATGCAACTCTACCTTTATTGTAATAACAAAAGTGGCCATGAACCCAACCTTGCATCCACTAAACACAACTGAAAACTAATGGATGCAAAATGGCCAACTAGGTACAAACATTCATCCATTTTAAAGGGATCTTCCATGATCATTTCATGCATGTTCATTTGGAAAAAACTCCGACTTTATTTAATGTTGCTCACTTCCCTAGTAAATTAACAAAACGTCTTATTTTTATTACAGGCTTAAAGGAGCACTAGAGAAAAGCGACCCAAAAACAAAGCCAGTTATGTACAGAATGGAACTAAAGATAACATGTTTCTGTTATAAACATAAATCAATAAGCAAAAACAAACTAATCTCAAGCTTGGAGGACTATACAACTATTACAAAAATTACCTCAACATTCCCCTGTGTTCTTCATGCCAATTCTGTATCCTCTCTTCCCATTGTTCCTTTGTCAATTTATGTTGTTCCAATACACTGTGAAAATAAAGATAGCCATGTAATGTATACCCTGGGTTTTATGCAAAATCTAGTTTACAGCAACATAAATGAGAGGGCACTAAGAGTTCTCAGAGTATATGCAACTTAATAGTAATCAGAAATCGTAGTATTTGAAAATAAAAAAGGAAGAATGCAAATTAAGTTGATACAGTTTTCTTTTTATCAGTATTCCAAAAAGCAGCTGTAAGTCTAAAAGGACACTACTTGATTTTTAAAACTTGGAGAATGGTAGTGAATAACTAAACGTATGCCTAGTCTACCTTACCATTTCAACTACAGTGACTACTTTGGGCAAACCTATCTTAGAAAGTTTTACATTTTACAATTCACAATATATGGGTACTTACAACTATTTAAACAAAAAAAAAACCTCAACAATTAATATAAAAATAATATAATAGGAAAATAAAACTAAATTCTGCTGATTTAGATGATTGATTGTCTAACTGTCCCTCAGATATGCAAAGGAATTTAATGGCATGGGAATAGTAAAAACAATATTACCAGTGGTTTATCCACCATCAGTTGTTCTTTGCTTAAAGTGACAACACTGAAATGGGACTTGGATCTTTACAATTGAATTGATGTTCCTTTTGCCTTTCATTAAGGTTTTTAGTCAAACTAGCTAAGTTTAGTCTCATTACTAAAGAAAATAGCTCCTTGTTAAAAAGGGGCCAAAAACAATGGCTTATATTTGTGGTCTACAGTGCTTATATCTTCTGTAAGCACAACTGTTAGGAGTTATTAAGGCACATCAGCTATGAAGACATAACAAGTTAACATGACAGTATGTAGTCATGTTAACACGATGCAGCAAAAACCTCAAAATCCCTTGCAACACTAAGGAATAATGCATTTTATATGGCACAGGCTTCCTTGATTCAGTGTGCTTCAACTGGAATGTGCCAGTCTTAACAGCTCATTTGTAATGTTTGTGTTAACCATTGTTTGTTGCTTAAGTCTACAGGGTAAACAGTCAGTGGTTTATTTTCCCCATTTCTCTCCTGGTCTTCTTGTTTCCAGATGGGTAGATAGAGAAACAGAACATGGATTAAACAGTTGCAAGTCTGGAAGTCTAACAAGCCAGATTTTATAAAGTAAGATTTTATAAAGTTTGGAAGGTGGAAGCAGCTTCACAAGTCATGAAATGCTGAAATGTGATTTGTAGTGATGTGTGAAGCTGCTTCAGTTAACAAGGTGTATTACTGGAGATGCAGCATTTGTGTACTGAAACCTGTCTTGTGACATGTGGTGGTAAATCTTGTTTTACTTAAGCCATTAAGCATGCTTAGCATTCAACTGATATGCTATACCCCATAGTGTTTCATAATCTTTTGCTTACCGTTGGGGAAGCAGTCTGTCATTTGCCAAATATCCTAGCTTATGTATTTCCTTATTGTAATCGCCATACTTGGCTTGAACAGCATAAGAAGCTAGAAGAACAGCAGTTTCAGGCGGACAATAAATTTCATCATTTAAAATGGCCTCTTTGACTTGCAGGAAAAAAAGTCTCTGGGTTATTTCTTGTATTAATTCTTCAGATACATCCTCGGGGAAAAACTTGGCCCTGAATTTGAACTGAAGTGGATTTTCTTTCCTTACATCTTGCTGTGTTACCTGAAATAGGAATTTTAGAAAGATAAAGAAGATATAAGAGTTATCAGAAAAAGCAATCTAGTTACTGGTTATTACATACTGTAATTCAAACTCTAGAAAGCACAACACTGAAAGACTTGTGATTCACACAGACATCTAAATAATTAATTATGAATTAGGAAAACACGACAGCTTTCAGAGGCTACATAAAACCATTTAAAGTCTTTATTGTATTCTTGTGTCACTCCAATTTTTCATTATATAAATGCAGCTCTGCAGACTTATCTCTACATAAAAGATGGGATACATGTTTGATTTCCATGAAGTCAATTTTGAATTTATAAAAATGTAGCAGAAACACTTTCAACAGTTACAATTTTTATTATTTTGGCATGGAGTTGACAACACTGCTGAGCTAATGAGCATTACAAATCCCAAGCTTTTCAAGTACATCAACATATATCTGGCCAGCTCCCATTTAAATAGAATTTTCATTTTAAATCTTCATAAAAATTTCAAATTATATTGAAATGGGAGTTTGAAAAGTCTGGAACATGTAATGCTCATTAGTTCAGCAATGTTGGCAAGTCCACGCAAAAACATTTCTTGTAACATTACTTCTGTACCAAAATGCTGACTATCAATACAAAATAAAGAAATGGTAGCATATTTTCTTGTAATAGTACGTTAACAAAACAAAAAAAAAGGAAATTACAACAAATGTTTGAAATGTGGAGGGATCCTGTTTATGGTCCCAGACAGTCAAGCACGCTAAATAAGAAAATATCTGAAAAGATATTTCATTTCCCCTGCCTTCGTGTTCCTTTTGTTTCCCTCAGACCAAAGCACTAGGGTTACTAAGTACAGTATGACCCCCATATCCAAAGTAGATGCGTTCTTGTATTTTGTTTGGATAAGTGAAGCCACGGATAATAGCAAGCCCTATTATTTTCAATGGCATAAACAGCAAAGGTGCTGAGAAGACCGTGTAACATGTACAGGAGATCTTAAGTGAATAAGTGAAACTGTGGATAACTGAAACCCTGTATATCAGTTCTGCAGATATGGGAGTCATACTGTATGCTCAGTTAACTGATTTGGTTTTTAATAGAGGGGTATAATTTACACTTCCTTGTATTCTTATACTTTCCCAAAGCATGGCGGCCATATGAGTATGTGGTAGCCCAATTTTGCTTATACCTGCCCGATAACATTATTATTACAGAGAAGAATGTATGAAATACAAGGAAGGGTATTTACTCATACCATTCTTTGCACACCTCAGCCCTTCACAGGTTAAGACAGTGACAAAGATGCTTCCACCCAGGGCACCTATTCATTTGTTGCTTCTTCCCGCTCCAATATACACATGAGCTCTTCAGCAAGCCTAGATTTGCCTTCTGCACAGCTCATCTCTTTGGACAATAAGAATTTGGGACATTATCACAGTAACAAATTTTACTGAGCTTTTCAAAGGAAACAAATACAGAAGGCTCCAATAATGCCAAATATCAGTTGAGTTTATTTCCATAACAATAAGACTGTCACCTGGGTAAGGCAACATTGTAATGACATCAGCTACTCTAAAAATACATTTTAACTATACAGATTTTTTAAAAAGCAATTTGAGATACAAAATGGATGTATGTTCATATCTAAATTAGTTTGACTTGTGGCAAGACAATCCTGGAACAGTATCTTTCTAGGCTTGAAAATATATGGGTGAGATTCCAACTGGAGGATATATCAAACTGACTAACAGCACAACATCTAAAGCTTCACCATTATCCTGAGTCAAACAATTGTTCCACCCAGTCTAATTTTGTACATGCAGACTCTGTTTCTAAGTAAAAATAAAATCTAAACTTCACCATAACTTTTTCACAAAAGAAATAAAAACTACAAATGATATCACCACATACAATTGAATCTTTACAGCAAATCGCTAGTCGTAATTCATATTTAATTTGGGAGAAACATAATAACAAAGAGCTACCAAGGCAGGAAAACTGTTGAGGAAGATAGAAGAGTCAACAAACTTACTGGGGTAAGGAAGCAGCCCATTAGTTGTGGACTGCTCCCCCAGCCAGGCAGAGAATGAATTATTTCAAACTCTATACCTATCATGCATTACCTTTTTATTTAATTTCAACCAAGTTGTATATCCTTTGCTGTCCACATATTGAAGTCCAAAAAACCAGACTTCCCGCAAGCCAACTGTTTTTACAACCTTAAAAAGAAGAAATGCATTAGTATTGATCATATAACGTAATTTATAAATATTTGAGTTTCCTTCTCCACTTCTTTTTAACATGACAGCAACCCCATTGGATTAGAATAAAGTCCAAATAATTCCAATATGATATTTCCCACAGTGACCAACCAGATGATGATCCATTCATCTATTCCAGAGGTGTCTCCAGATGTTTGGGCCTCTCAGAAGTCCCAACTAGCTTCTCTAGTGGTCAGGAATTCTTGGTTCTCAAGCACAAAACACCGGGTGAGCCACAGATTTGACACCACTGATCTATTCATTCATTCATCAGTCCACCCATCCCTTTATATATACATTATTTTCTTGAAGCTGGGACTCAAGGAAGCTTCTAAATAGAAAGAACTGCAAATTAAAAGCACAGGTGGCTAGAACCATACAGAATAGCATTAAACTGTCAATAAAATTAAAATAATTCAAAAGAGTAGAAGTAGGGCAGCACATTAAAGGCCCTTATCTTGCAAAATACAGTAAGTCACTAAAATGCTGCAGCGATAAAAAGGTCATCACATGTCTAGAAATGGACATCTGCGCAGGAGACAACATAGCCTCCCTAAGAAAGGAGCACCAGAATTTGAGAGTAGCCATACAGAAGACCCTTTTTCTCATTCCCACAAGATGTTTCTGAGATGGCTATGAGATTGAAAGATTAGCTTCCCCTAGAGACCTTAGAACTCAAGACTGTGGAGTAAAAGGACAATAGCTCTTCGGTTTTTTAAGAAACCGATATTCAGTCATAATATCTCTGATCCTAGAAGTAATGTATAACCATCTTAACTGCTAGCCATTAACAGCCTGATCTCCATAGCTTTGTTTGTTTAATCCTCTTTTGGAGTTAATGAACATCATTAGGGATCCCGGAGATCTTTGTCTGGACTAACCAACCTAGTTTCTGGGCTAAGATCAGGACACAGTTCTCCTTTGCAATGGAGCTAATTCCATTTTGAAAATTCAAGTTAAAACACCAAAAGCTTAAATATTTGTTGGAAAATATATATGATTTAATTATTATAATTGAAAGATTTACTGCTAAACCCACACAAAATCGGAAAAGAAGGATTTACAACTGAAACATACAAAAGTGACATATGAAAGCATACATTCATGGTCACATGTTATGGCAACAAAGTCCATCACTTAAGTGCTGTGTAAAAACCTTGCCTTGAATTTCCCACAACTCAACTTCACTCCATGTCAGAATCCTGATCTCATGAAAGAGGAAAATCCTTTTTCCATCCAGTTTCTTTGCACCTTGAAAATTTTCCCAGGGTTGTTGGTACTGCATAAATACAATATTTCAGATGCACAGCTCACTTGTTATTTTTGCGTAATGGACTAGCAGACAGAGATTCATTCTTTTCCGACCAGCTTAGTATTCACATTTGATTAAGTACATGTGTTAATATCTATTTTTTAACAAGAACTAAAAGCACACATATTTATAGGACAAACCTTGCAAGCTGGTTTTAAAATAAATATTTTAGATTAATTTAAACAGAGAACGTCAACAAAAATCTGTTATAAATATCCTCAGTATATCTAGGTTACCAAAATATACGATTTCTTTAAACTCACCATTACCTGAACACTGCTAGAACAGGTCTCAGACTGCTGAATATACAAATATGGATACATGCTTCAGCAGTAGGCCTTTCGTTGCAGCATTTCAACAACTAATAAGACAATGTACTTTTATAGAAGTTAGAAACTTTTACTTCAACCAATCAATAGGCTCTCCCTTCCTGCCCACAGAATTCATCCATCTAGCCTGTCTTCCTCACTCTACCCACTTCAACACTCTGTCATCCATGGAATTATGTACTCTCTCAATCCCCATATCCATTCAGATGTTTCTCACATGGTCCACTCAAATGCCTTTACTCCACTCCCCCACTGTAGTACACAGACTTTCTCCCTCTCCACCTCCCTTTTTTTCCACTGTTCTTTCTCTTCCAGATTTGAGCGCATACCCTTCCTGGAGACTCTCCTTTTGCTTGCTGTTCTGATTCCTAACATATTAACCAATAGAACACACATTGACTCTCTGTCAATGTTTTGAAGATCTGAACCAAGAAAAAGTAGTAAGGGCCTAGCATGCTTGCCTCAAAGTTCTTGTGATCACATGCAATTTCCTAAAGTCCCTTTGGCAAAATGAATATTCCAGGTCTGATTGTGGCTTCATCCATGAAGCCACAATCACACACTTCTTGAAGAAGGTAGTGGAGGCCGTAATGCCAAACCGAGACAGTTAAGCAAGAAGACATTGAGATAAGACATTGAGGAGCCAGAGATGAAGGAGTGGTCAAATAGTCTGAGGCAGAGGAACCAAAAAGATGGAAGAATGGTCAGACAGTCTGAATCAAAGGTAGGAGATAAGCCAAGAAATGTAGCTGAAAACAAAATTGTGTTCTAAACTTAAAGTCGAAATAGTGACCACTGAGAGGGAGTTCCTGAGGTGTTGCTACTGCAGCAGACAAAAAGGAACTGGTCCATGAGGTCTCTTCCAACTCTATGATTCTATGATTCTATAATGCGATTTTCCTGTTTCTTGAAAGGGGGTTGGACGGGATGGCCCAACTCTATGACTCTATGATTAGGTGGGAACTGCCCATAGGTGAGGTTACCACCAAAAAGATTTCAGAAAAGCTCTAGAAGATTCTGAGTGGTGATCTGTGTAACCACAAAATAACCCATTTATTCACACAGAACACAAAGAAGAAGAAGAAAACAGACCATCTGGTATGCAACCTCATATGCATGTCAAAAACAAAATGCAAAAACACATACACAGAATCATTACTGTATTAAGATAAACAATACAAAGACAAACTGCTGTTTGCTATTGAAACAATAAGCAGGTAAAATAACATTCCCTCCAATTTATATATAAGGAAAAAGATGGGAAGTTTCTGGTCACAATTTACAAGAACAGGTTTACATTTTGTTTTATAAAGTAAAACAACTTTTTCATAAAACAGGTTCTATAAACAAAAAATGTTTGTATAAGATCATATAAAATGTAAAACTCCGGTTTTCTGCAATGATTGTCATACATATCTGAAGCTTTTACTTGTTTTTCTTCTAATGACAAACTTTGGTTTTGTTATACCTGAATGAAACCATAGTAAAATAAAGTTACCTGATCAAAAAGTTGTTTTCCTGTTGTGTTAGGCTGAATGGCAAATTCCAGTTCTGCGTCCATTGTAGTAACTCTTACATTAATCTGCACAGAACAAAAATGTATATTATAAAATGTATCTTTTATTCTTAGAACAATAATAAAATTACAAACTGCATGACGGCCCTGTCTTTTTTATATTCCCTATAACTAAAATCAAAGAAAAGCAATCTAATTAAAATTAGTACAGTTGAAGTCTCTTTTTATACAAATTGTATACTAAATGGCAGTCTAGTATACAATGATTAAATGTCACTGCCATCTGGAAACTTATTTAATTGATCTATCCAAGTTCACGCTCAGGAGATCCCCGAGTCTTTTGTATTGGTAATTAATACCTTTTGTGATAAAGGAAAGTGCCTCAAACATATGCCATTGTTTTTGTGGGAATGAGACAGTAGAATTAACTGTCAATTACCTATAACTGTGTTAGTTTGAAAAATACAAAGAACGGACCCCGATAGTAAGATGTTAAGGCATTACAAATATGTCAATTTGGCATAAAAATAGCAATGCATTATGGCTAATAAAAACAGAGGCGGGAACTCCACAAACTTCCTTGGGTAGCTTTAAAGAAACCAAAACACTTACTCTCAATTTCTTTATTTTGATACAAATTTGTTATCTATTAATAAGTATATATAAACTTATTTATACATATAAACACACACAAACTCTTTTCTGTCTGGATCAAATTTCTACCCAGTTATCTTCTAAAACGTTCACAATTTAAATGCTACATCATATTTTTTTTGTTGTGACAAATCAAATCAAATCAAACAATGCAGAATATGCTACAACGCAAATTCCCACTAACCTCTAAGGAAACATTATTTACATTAAGAGCTAAACATAATCAATGTCTTTTATTCCGAACAAATACTGACAGATGTGTGTTCATTTACATACACAGATCTCTATGAAACATATAACTCACAGAAATCACAAGACTAGAAAAGTTATTAATTTAGATTGTTAGGATTCTTCCACAAAGTAACAAGCACGCAACAGCTTAAAACCGGATTTGGCTAACAAGGTGTTCTCCCAACAATTAGAGTTGAGCCTCCAACTTCTGGTGTATGAAGATATTATATACAGTAATGAGTGACAATATATGGCGCAGGGGCCATATGTGGCCCACAAAGCTGCAGGGTTTTTGATAAGTTGCATGGCATTCCAGTGCTATTTAAGCATAAAATACTTATTTGAAAAGACATGGACATTTAGTTACTTGTTTTAGGTTCCTTTTTTCTGATTTTTGACAGTCTGTGTAGCCCCTGAAGGGACCAAGAGACAGAAAATTGGCCCATCACAGTTACCTATATATAGCTTTATATTTATAAACTGTCTGTTGTTGAGATAATAGCAAGATGCATTTCTTAATGGTATTTTTACCGCCATTTAACCCTTCTCAGAATGGCTTGTAAAGATCAGCAGTGTAACATTTCCTGCCCTCAGGAGTACAATTTAAAAGTGCCTAGACAAGAAACTGTTTTTGCTTTTCCAAATGGCACCGGGACAAGAAGAGTCCTTTTCATTCTATTGTCAAATGGCTACCGTCAACATATAAACATATTATGTCAGCAGCTGAATACTGTACGGAGAATTAAGTCACCTTTAAATCCAATCTGAACTTGGGTCCTCATTACACTAGAGAACGGATACACTTTAAATCCTGTTTATGCCTCCTATAGAATTCTAGGGCTTGTAGTTTAGGGAGGGGCCTTTAAACTGTTCAGCCAAGGAAGTCCTGGGCTTCACTAAACTACAAACCTCGAATTCTGCAAGAGGCAGAAACCGGATTTAAAGTAGATCCATGCATGAAGATTTGTTTCTTCAAATCACCTGTGCTCATACTGGGAGTATCAAGATTCTTCCACAGTTGAAAATACGATACTTTCTTCGAATCACTCAGCTTGGAAGAAGTATGCATTTGTACACAATCTGTTTGAAGTATTCTCCACTGGAAACATGTTTTTGTTTTCATGGTTAGGCTTCTGAACAGAGGCTGGATGGCCACCTGTTAGGGGTGCTTTGAACCTGATTTTCCTGCTTCTTGGCAGGGGGTTGGACTGGATGGCCTACGAGGTCCCTTCCAACTCTATGATTATTTGTTTTAACTATTATAATGATTACCTTGCCATTTCTCCAAAATGCTCAAGGTGGCTTACATAATGATAGAAAGAATGTCTTGCATATGCCTAGATTTATCAACTTTCCTGCCAGAATTACAATTAGTAATTACACTATACCAACCCCACTTTATTTTCTCTACTCCAGTGCTGCTTTGGGCCTTGGGGGAAAATAATGGCAATAGGACCGGGGTGACTGGCCCCTAAGGCACCAGTGGTATTTGCCCTTCTCTTTGAATGACCTTCAACTTATAAATGTATTAATTAAATTAAATTCCATAATTTTGGTCCCAAAATATTCATGAGCATATACGATAGTGCCCTTTTTTTAACTTGAAATGAATGAGGTCTTGATCTTTTCCAACTGAAGCATGCCATTGAATTGCGCAGGAGGATCTAGCAATGCCTAAAGAAATGTTCTCTTTGGGCTTCTAGCACAATTCTACAGTTAACTACTGGCAGATGTTCTATAGCATTCAAAGCTCTTTGTGTATAATTGAAACTGTATTCAACAAGCTTTTGTAATATGAAGGCCTATGTTGAAATATGAATAAACATTTTCCTCCCTTCTACAGCAAATGTGCATTTATGCATGTTTGAGAAAAAAACTGAAAATACATTTACATTCTGTAAGAAATTATAATCTCTAAAAGCTAGATGATAGATCTAATAGAAGGGCAACTCTATTTGGTCTGATATCAATTTACAATACAAAATACAAAGTTGGGTTCTAATTTAAGAACATGGAACCGGGTTAAACTCTTCTATCCTCTCCTCTTTTTCTGACAGCCTCCCTCTGAAAATTGTATATAGAACAAGACAGCCTTTTAGAATGGGACAAAATGCTGTACTCAGTAAAGAGGGATACCCCAAATAGAGTAGAGAAATTTTCCTCAAGAAAATACTGGATTCACTGTGTTTTGGAACTGTTAATGACTACTGAGCTTAGTTATTGTTTATTTATTTATTTTGTGCCAAAAGCATTGCATAAATAAATATAAAACTTATAAAAAGAGAGGGAACACGAGTGGTTAAATAATTTTTGACCAAAAACAGGCAACAGCAGTTATATACCACTTTTCTCACCCCTAGGGGGACTCAAAATGGTTCCCAACATAATCAATGGCAAAATACAATGCCTTACATGTATAAAACAACACATATCAAAGCAACAACAATGACAATAGATTAAAACCATTAAAATTATAAAACTATAAAACAACAGTCAAAATACATACTTGAATTAGGACACCTATTTCTAAACTGAATTGACATTGCAAATATTCCTGTGGTTCCGAGGACACTGTTAAAAATACGCCATTTGAGCATCAGCCTGAAGTTCCCCAAAATATAATCTAAATAATTTGCTTCTAAATAATGTAAACATAGTACATTAAAGGGTCTGTCCTTTCATGTGCTTTCCTAAAGGAATCCCTCAAAGATTCTCTTCTCCCACTCACAGACATTTATGCCGCCCAAAGTCTACCTAGAGGTGGGAGCACCCTAAAAAGTATAGGATTGAATGAGAGGGAAAGAATCGTCCCACATCTCACAAAAGCCTGCCCAGTTTGGAATAATATTCATTTTCCCAGTAGATCCCCTTGTTCCAACCAATATTGTTCTAAAGCAGCTTTTGCGGAGTTCCCTCTCTTTTACATATCTAACAACCTAAACCTGGGGTCCTCAAACCTTTTAAACAGAGGGCCAGGTCACAGTCCCTCAAACTGTTGGAGGGCCGGATTATAATGTTGAAAAAACCATGAATGAATTCCTATGCACACTACAAATATCTTATTTGGAGTACAAAAAACACTTAAAACAATACAATAATTAAAATGAACAATTTTAAAATATATAAACTTATTACTATTTCATTGGGAAATGTGAGCCTGCTTTTGGCTGGTGAGATAGGATTATTGTTGTTGTGCGCTTTCAAGTCATTTCAGACTTAAGTTGACCCTGAGCGAGGGCCGGGTAAATGACCTTGGAGGGCCGTATCCGGCTCCCAGGCCTTAGTTTGGGGACTCCTGACCTAAACCTTTATTCAAGGGAAATGAAAACAAAGATAAGGGAACAAATATATAATTGAAACTGTATTCAAAAGCAGTCCTCCTGTATTTGTGGAATTTTGCCAGTTAAATATTTTTCCAAGTAAAATGGAATTCAATGCAAGGAAGAACTGTAGATTTTGTATTTTGAAAAATGTATTACCGTATTTTCCGGCATATAAGACAACTGGGTATATAAGACAACCCCCAACTTTTCCAGGTAAAATATAGTGTTTGGGATATACTCGCCATATAAGGCTACCCCTCTTCCAACGTACACCAAATAATTTTTTTTTAAGACCATCAGATTTGATTTTAAATCCAAGACTATCTGAGCGGCTCTTTGGCTTAGAAATGGAGATGAGCACCAACCCCCAGTCGGACACGACTAGACTTAACGTTAGGAGAAAACCTTTACCTTACCTAGAGTGAGACCAGGGCTGGGTTCAACAACCTTTCCCCAACAACAACAACAACAGAACCCTAGAGTCCAACCCCATTCCTGCCAGGCAAGAACACACAATGCAAGTCCTCCCAACAGGTGGTCATCCAGCTCTGCTTGTTAATAGTAATAAAGATGATGATGATGATGACGACGACGACGGAACCCTTGAGTTGGAAGGGACCCCAATGGCCATACAGTCGCTCTCGGCATCTCAGAGTGGCACAGCTTATACCCGGAGTACAAGACAACCTTTTAAGATGATTTTCCTGGGTTAAAAAGTCATCTTATACACCAGAAAACATGGTACTAACTGTGATTGTGACAATCCAGAGCTAAAACTATGCTGCAGGTGATAGCCTAACCACCAACCAATGCCTTCTGGCATTGCTAGTAGTGATGCATAACCAACTTTTTACAACCAAGATTTTGCATCAACAGATCTTGCTACACTTTATCATGTTGAATGTTTGCCTTTCTATAGAGTGTGACACTCTATAGAAAGACTAGTTCATTATTTCTGAATATGCAGTTAGATGAGGAAAACAAAACAAAACTGTCTTCTCTGACAGCAAGAGCTCTTTACTTCTACAGGAAGAACAAATGTGTCTTTATACATGCAGACAACAATATTGTTCCGTTGTTTTTTAAAAAAGAAAGCTATAGAAAATTAAACTGCAATAGTCACATTGGGTGATTCAAGGCCATAAGCATGGTATAGTCTTTTTCAAGTAATTTGGGCATCTAACCAGAACAGTAACAAAAAAATTCAACATCAGAGACAATGCAGGGGCAGAGGAGTGAGCACTCCAAAGTGGCAGAATACTAACATTTCATTAAGAGTCACACAACATGCACACAGTCAAAATAAAAAATACTCCCATCTCCCATGAAAAAACTTTGTCAGAGAGTGAGTAATCCACACCAGTGATTCTTAGACTGTTGTCCTCCAAATGTTTCATATTTCCAACTCCAAAATTCCTAATTACTGACAAGGTGTGGTTGGACCTTCTGAGAGCTGCAGTTCAAAATATGTATAGGACAAAAGACTGAGAATGTGATTTAAAAAATTAGAATGTGGTTTAGAAAATTATGCAGAGCACACACTTTCCACAAAGCTATCCTCATTTTTATATCTGTTAGACAACTCTGTGGTTCTCAGCATGCTAAGCTGGAAATGTTAAGAACAATCCTGAATATATTTATGATGCCTTCGTCCATTTTATAAAATGTTGGCTGATTTCCCCATGACTGCTTCTAATACTTCAGATAAGAATTAGAATGGATACACCATGCTTCCAGTTCTTTTCCTCAATAGATGATGTACTTCTCTGGTGTAAAAACATCACACAGCATCAAGACAAGTGAGAAAAAGTCACATTCCAACCATGTTTCCCATCTGACTACTTCTATGAAATGAAACCGCTCAGAAGGCATGGGATTGTTAAATCACACTTTCCCTTTACCATGCCTTGAGATTAAGTGCAAATTCTGGGAATTATGACACTGGTTACAACCCAGTCCCTTTCCATAATTTTAGTAGGATAGAAAGGTTCTATTTAATACCAACAAATTACAGGATGAACTGAAAGTACTTAAGGGATTCAAAATGGTTTACTTACTGGTTTCGGCATTTTGCCCCCTTTTCTGTGTTTCTTGTTCAGTTAAAACATCAACTGGACTCAATCTTGTTTTCTTCTGTGAAAACAAAGCAATTATTTATAATTACCTGTACTTTATCTTTTACTAACCAGGTAACCGACCCCTTCACTCTATATTTATTTATTTATTTATTGCCATTATAGCCCAGCTTTTTCCTGAAGTAGATATTGAAGGCAGCTCAAAATTGTATAAAATTTAGGAACAAAATTAGCTCTAATATATATTTAAGAAATCAATTTAAAACAATTAAAGATATGTCCTTAGAAAGTTGCATTCTCCACAGACAGGCCACTTCTAAAAGTCTGCTTGGTCTTTTTTAAAATCAACTTTAACTGACAGCACTATGTACTATTTGAGTGTTGGACTAGTACTGTGGAGATCAGAGTTATTATTATTATTATTAAACTTTATTTGTACCCCGCTAGCATCTCCCGAAGGACTTGATGCGGCTTACAAAGGCCAAGGCCTCAACACACAACATAACAATACAAAACCTAAAGCAAATTAAAAACAATTAAAGCAATTCAAATTCCCACTCATTGACTGTGGGCAAGTCACACATTATCAGTCACAGAGAAAGGCAAAAACGAACCTTTTCTGAACAAATCATGCCAAGAATACACCACTAGGGTTGACTTGAGTCAGAAATATTTTGAAGGTCCACAACAACAGTAGCTAGGAGGCCAACGCAGGCTCCCTTTTAGAGCTAAAAAACAACCACAAAGAAAGTACATATTACATCCATTAAAGATCACAAAATTTGGGGAGGGTAATATTTCATAATACAATCCTTTAGACATCCTGGATTTAGGTTATAATGAGGTTTACTATGAGCCAGAAGTTTGAAATTCTGCTTGGAAACAGACCAGTAGTTAGTTAAACTATCATAAAAATGAATTTAGTTGTTTCAATAAATTGCCCTAATCAATAGTCCGGCTACAGCTTCGAAGACCAACTCACTTTCCAAGTACTTTTCAAAGACAGTCTTACATTATTTAAGGTACAGTAATCCCAGTGGCATGTAAATCTATCTTATATTAATAGACATGTGAAATTTCAAAAAAAAAAATTGAAGCCTTGAATGAAAAAGCTGGGGATTTTTTTATTTTCTGGAAAAAACACATTTTCAGAAAAATTGAAATAATGCAACACTAGCACAACTTATAGAAAGTCTATTTGTTGTTTTAAGGAAAAAAAATGTTTTATATAACTTGGCTGTGTGTAAAGGTTCAGGAAACCTATTTATGGGTCAGAAGCTCTGTAACAAAGTACAATAAGTTGAAAAGTAGAAACAAGTTAATTTTACCTTGCTAATGTATTGTGGCAGCTCAAAAATTTAAACAACACACTACATACTTTTGAATGCATGATAAACTTAAAGGAGCATTCAAAAGTAATTCAGGGAGAAAGCTGCTATTTCCATAGGGAATCTACGAGACCATACTCATGTGCTCAAGCAATCCCAAGAAATGTATTGTCGAAGGCTTTCATGGCTGGAATCACTAGGTTCTTGTGGGTTTTTTCGGGCTATAGGGCCATGTTCTAGAGGCATTTTTCCTGACGTTTCGCCTGCATCTATGGCAAGCATCCTCAGAGGTAGTGAGGTCTGTTGGAAATAGGACAATGGGTTTATATATCTGGAATGGCTGGGGTGGGGCAAAGAGCTCTTCTCTGCTAGAGCTAGGTGTGAATGTTTGAACTGACCACCTTCATTAGCATTTGAAGGCCTGGCTGAGCCTGGGAAAATCCTTTGTTGAGAGGTGTTAAGATGTGCCTGGTTGTTTCCTCTCTGCTGTTTTGCTGTTGTAATTTTAGAGTTTTTAAATACTGAGAGCCAGATTTTGTTCATTTTCATGGTCTCTTCCTTTCTGTTGAAATTGTCCACATGCTTGTGGATTTCAATGGCTTCTCTGTGTAGTCTGACATGGTGGTTGTTGGTGTGGTCCAGCATTTCTGTGTTCTCAAATAATATGCTGTGTCCAGGCTGGTTCATCAGGTGCTCTGTAATGGCTGACTTCTCTGAAGTAGTCTGCAGTGCCTTTCATGTTCCTTGATTCGTGTTTGGGTGCTGCGTTTGGTGGTCCCTATGTAGACTTGTCCACAGCTGCATGGTATATGGTAGACTCCTGCAGAGGTGAGAGGATCCCTCTTGTCTACAATATCAAGGGGTAAATTCTCGAAACACTGTGCTTTAAGGCAAATCATGGCCTTCTTTGCTGCTGCACTGCTGAAATTTGATGGCAGAGACAGATAGAGTTCAGGATAGGGAACCACTGAAAACCTCTTCCTCTCACAAAATTCTCCATCAGGTTTCACAGAGTAACATTTATCAGGAGTCAACTGTTTACAATGTTAATGCAGAATGCTTTATACTTTCAGTGTTCCAGTTTCTGTTAACCTCCACAAGTGTCAATTTGCTTTGCAAAGAGTTCCAAAACCAGTAGGAAGTAAAGCAAATATTATGATAGTTGATTTAAGATTGTTTCACCTGGACTGTTTCATTTTCCTAAAAGGAGTAGAATTCCACCCAAAGCTTCCATAATAAAAAATTATAGACGTAAGTCCTTAAGAGATTATCAAATTGATTTAATTATAAAAGTGGGTTCAGAACAAAATACACACATCTGCTTTAAAAAGAACTTCAAAGAAGTAGTTGTCATTGTTGTTTACACACACACACACACACAAAATCAGTCTTGTGGTACTTTGAGAATTATAGCATAAGTTTTCATGAATGATAGACCATTCCATCAGATGAATGAATGCTCAGTTGGTCAGTGTACACAGAGAGATAAAGAAAATATAAATGGGAACCAGATGGACAAGGGATAGCAAATGTAATATTCTGCAATTGCTCTGTAGTTTCTACATAACATGGTAATTTGGCCCCACTGCTCTCAAGCTATCTCATTGACCTAAACCTGTGTAATGCTAGCAGAGTAAACATTTCTACTATTGTAGTTGTACTTCATTACACCATTACAAAGCACAACCTCAGGCACATACAACAGCCTTTGCACTAACTCTCAGTGTACAATCATTGCATGCAACAAGTCTTGCACTGGCACAATGATATCAGTTGATACAGACCTCCATACCCAAGGATATAGAAGAAATCCCCAAGTTACAAACAACCCATAGTTACAAACAGAGGTGAGATAACAAGAAGTGAGAGAAATTTACCCCTAGGAAAGAAAATTCACTCCTGGAAGAGTTATCATGGGAAAAAGGTGTCTCAACTGAAGCTTTATTCTTGCTCTCACAACAAGCCAATTATCAGGTGAAAATCTTCTGAACAGGGGCACAGATAGCCACACAAACACCACGGGGGTGTTAACCCTATCCTATGTTACCCAAAGCTTACATATAGATAGATTGAGTTACACTTTAAAAAGTACCTGTTCTGACTTACAAACAAATTCAACTTAAGAATAAAACTAAAGAACCTATCTTGTTTATAACTTGGGGGCTGCCTGTATACACACTAAAAGAATAACCTCAGTCTCCAAATAAAATGGACTTAGTCCATGGTAACTTTTCGCATAAACTGTAATTTATTATGTTGCCACAAGTAACGTCATTTCTTACCCAGGGTTCCCTGGAACCCTATGGGTCTACAAGAGGTCACTATGAGTTCCATGAGAAATTGTGACCAAATATAAACATTTTCTAGCAGCAGCTGTAATAATTTTTACACAGAAGTTCCCGGAGACCTAGGAATAATTTCAAGGATCCCTCCAGTGTAACAAGGCAATAAAGCAAATAAGATTTCAAAATTAATGTGGCATTTCAGTTACTGGTGTCTAAAAGTTGCAAAGTTTACACCCACATTATTTAACAACCTAGACATTGACAGTTAACAAGCCTAGAAATGAATAGTAGTTCAGCTATGAGCTGTCCCTAATGTCTTCACTAACTGAAACTCTGTTTCTTCAAACAAAACCTTCTTTGTATAATGAGTTGCCAAAATGGCAACATGTTTACATTCAAAATTTCTTCAGACTGCTATTGTGCATTATTTCAATATACACAGTAATAATAACTATGCCAAATATCAACATACATAGAATATTCAAAATTATCTGTTATATAATATGTGTATTAAAATATCTAAAATGAATGTAGGGAATCAGCTCAGTTTGTATATAAAAAAGTTAAGAACATTAGAATGTCACTTAGCTTCTCAGAAACGTATTGTGGTTTAATTTTTTTATCCTTAATTCCAAACCAAAATATCTAAACCAGCAATAAAACAATACTTCAATTTTTTATTGACCATAAACAGAGCTGATACAGTTTCAAATGCCAAACAACTATAAGTCAGAAGATGAACGTGCAGCTCATTTTTTTCCTAAAATAATTTTACATTATGTAAAAGATTGTAAATCACTCAAATAGTCATCCCAGGCAAAGTTCCATTAAAGTCACACTATCTCATCAACATGGGCAACCACTAATGGCCAAGTATGATTGTCTTCCAGAGGTAGCCTTGATGGTGGATCCATAAATGATGTGAGCTAACTATACTGACTATATTCTTTATTTAGAAGCAACACTTCTAAATGAAGAAATATCAACAAGAAAAATGACTTTTTGAAAAATAATTTTGCAAGTCGGTATGTGCACAGAAGAAATCTAAATATTAACATACTTGGATTGCTAAAAGTTTTTAAAATCTCTCACTAGAAACACATGACAAATTTTCAAAGCCATGGATTAAGAAGGCAGGCCTTTTATGAATTGGTAACTGGTTAAAGAATAGAAAACAGAATAGTATTAAGCATCACTAAATTAACAAGAGACAGTCTAGGGCAGGGGTCCTCAAACTAAGGCCCGGGGGCCAGATATGGCTCTCCAAGGTCATTTACCCGGCCCTCGTTCTGGGTCAATCTAAGTCTGAAACGACTTGAGAGCAAACAACAACAACAACAGCAGCCAAAAGCAGGCCCACACTTCCCATTGAAACGCTAATAAAATAATGTTTGTTAAAAAATTTATTCATTTTAATTATTGTATTCTTTTAAAGTGTTTTTGCA